GTTTGTAATAGTAAGATAAGGGTGAGAGAGGAGTGTAAATGTGAATGAGTTAAGTGTTTATGTAAACTAAGTTCTCTTCTTGGCTGTGTATGCTGAAGTGTAAATAAATTTTATTCTATTCTAGTACCTCTACCTTAATATTTTTATCTGCAGAATAATATTAAAGGAATTACATTATGTAATATATATATATAAAATTCCATTAAAAAAATTTAAAGTACCCTTGACGTAAGAAGAACATCTCAAAATTAACCAAGATTATCATCTTTCCTCCTTCCCTCTAGTAATTAAACAATTTTGATCTAAAACATTTTTATCTTAAAGATTTTGAGAAAATCGACTGGATAAGTTAAAATGACTCATCCCGTATACATATGCACATTAAAATATATACAATATCAAAATAAACGAGGTATGAAATTATAAATAGAATTTTATTGTGAAATTGAATTACGAATTATCAATCTATCGGTTTAAAACGGGCTTTATAAATAATAAATGTAAGCATAAAAGATAAATAAAGAGATCTCACCCTAACGACTTCTTCTGATTCAATATGCCACGGTAGAGGACCGATGTAAAGCTTGCACTTGTTTACGCTCGCCAGAACACGTATTTTCCTGCCCGGTGAAATCTCATATTGGTCCAACTGGATAATGGCGCGCGCCGCATCCTCCGGATTTGTGTACATAATGAAACAATAACCTCTCGTCAGTTCAGCCATATCGACCATCAGTCGAATCTGAAAGACTTCGCCGACCATCTTGAACAACGGATATAAAGTGTCCTCGTAGATCGTCTTCGGAATTCGGCCTACGAAGATCTCACACTCTATACCAGGAGTTGGTCCGCTCCAACGAATCGGTTGGATACTAAGGATCCTTTGTCCGTTGATTTGCGTAGAAGCCAGCTTATACTCATGCAATAATCGAAGGACGTTCTTATGCGTTTGTAATTGTCGACGTAAAGATGGACACATGAGCGACGGCTTACTCTTCTCACTTCCTGTACACACAATATTATTGAAGGTATAAGTGTTAGTACATTATACTGTTATGTACTAGCACTTATATCTACTTATGTACTAACTAAAGTTAAAAAGTTAGTAGATGAACTTATAAAATTAATAATACTGTATCGTTTTGGATAAAAATAATAGAAAGTATATTTTTTCGATAATAATAATTCAATTTATTTTTATATCAAAGTTTACAGTAAATTAAATAAAGGAGGAATTTCATATAGTGAAGAAATGCTTGTTAAGGTGCAGAAACGTGTAAAAATCATATCAATTTAGACATATGCAACAAATTGATATTATGCCATTTTAATTGAAATTCTAATGAAAAACATCTGAAAGGAGAAGAGATGTAAACGAAAACAGTATAAATAAAAAAAATACATTCGACACCTTTAGAAAAAAGCTTTTAGAAAGAAATGAATCAAATTTTCTTTTTTTCTGCCGATTTGTCATAGTCTAACTCTTAACAACGGTAATTATAGCATTATTGTCATTAAGAGTTACAAAATAGGCCCCTTAATTTGATCTTGTATATATAAAGGATATTTCATTCTTAATATTTCTAGGAGAAAAGGATAGAATTTTAAACTAAAAGTTCTTTTCTCAATTTTTGTTCAGATCATTCATTATCGGGAGAATATATAGTAAGCATTTCTCGCGATTAAAATTTTATTCTAATTCTTCATATTAAATAATGAATAAATTTCATATTAAGAAATAAATAAATAATAAATGAATCAATAAACGAGAAAAATAATATGAAAAACATAAAATAAAATAATATGACAAGATTAATAAAATAAAAGATGAAAAATTAGAATATTAATCGGGAGAATGTACAGTAAGGTGCGAGGAGTCCCGTGGCATGGGACTCTACGTTTCTGCATACGTTCCAGCTGGGCGCAATCTAACTGATCAACTTCAATCGTTAATAATTCAGTAAATAACAATGGTCTGAACTAAAATTGAGAAAGGAACTTTTAATTCAAAATTCCTTCTTTCACTCCTAGAAATATTAAGACTCATGGGACACCTTGTATATGTATATACATGCTTAGCGCCGAGCACTATCGTGTCTCCAGATACACATATATATATATATATATA